AACGTCAAATTATAGTTTAACAATTTGAGAGGAAGAGACCTGTTTCTGTGTCGGACAGCAAACAGGAAGTGTTGTGAGAGGACATGAGTCCTATTGAAACAGTTACATTTATGATGGTTGGTATTTTCCCCTTACAGGCAGAGCTCTACTGTTTGTCAGAGGGTGCCAACCTGGTGTCCATCCACAGTCAGGAAGAAAGCAACTTCGTCAAATCCCTGATCAAGAACTTTGATCCCAATGAGGGTTACACCTGGATCGGACTCAGTGACCTGCATTATGATGGCAAATGGATGTGGTCTGATGGGTCTAAAGCGGGCTACTTCATTTGGAGTACGGGAGAGCCGACCAACTGGCAAGGAATGGAACATTGTGTGCACACCAACTATGGTCCGGACCGTAATTGGAACGATAACCGTTGCTATAATCAATATCCTGCTGTTTGTGCCACCCGTGCAGGCTGTCCTTAGTAGCTGAGATGGTTCCACCTGTTACCTGGTTACACCAGGTGTGTGTGTTACACACGCCTGGTTCAGTCTGGATACTGTTCATTTAATTATATGTTGACGTGAATGAATCCTTAACAATAAACAATCAAACTGGCAACTTTGTGGTTGATGTGTTCACACAGAGGGAAACACCGATTATCATTTTGAGGAAGATTTCCATTATTTTTTAACAAGCTCAATGTTTCTGTTGAAAAATTGTGATCATCTCCTTTCATATAATATCATACAAATATCAGATTGATGAAAGTAAGCAAAAAGAGACATCAGATCACTAGTTATCCCCTTCCCTTTTTCAGCCAAGGATCAAATACCGTCAAGAGGTTATACATGACTGCAAAAGACACCTCTCTAAAACCGCTAAGTGTACATGTCACAGCATTCCTCCAACTTTTTGACAAAACGGGTCTAATTTAAGTCAACTGTGGATTACTTATGTATTTCCATTATAAATTAAGCTTTTATTCGTAGTGGAAAAACAAATGCGGACTATCATCCACGCGCGGGCACACAGTGGGCGCGTGGACCTCGGGGCATTGTGCCTTTAGTTCGGGTCAACTATCTAACCACGCCCACTTACCGTTTTGGCGTGAAATCTCGGAATGTACCACTATCCGTGTGGGGGATACCTGAAAGACTCTCTGTTTTTTAAAGACGGCCGGCGGCAGTTTCACGTAAATCTTGTAACTTTGCAGGGTGTTTTTTGTAACGTTAGCTCCACTAGTGTCAAAATCACGGTTCGAGATCCTGCCTTTGTACTTACCAATAGGCTTGTTAGAACACCCCCCCACTGGTACGTCCGTCGGATATTTTAGCAGTTGCTGTTTAAACTTACGTCCTCTAAGTGATTCTAAGTTATAAGTATTAGCAGGAAAGCCTCAAAGTTAACCAGAGAAAAATGACCCTAACGTCAAAGGTAAGTTTCCGTGCTGTGCGTGTAAAGTGGACTTTCTTTTAGCTGTTGGACGTTCTTGTCGCCTTTAACACATAGTTTGAATGAACGTACTTGCTCAGTGGCCCAGGGTCTGTAAATGTGCACATCTCCCGAACGACTTTGTTTTTGTGTATGGTTGATCAAATAAATCAGCGAAATATCTCTTTATCGCGTTTTAACTTTATTTTCTTTTATTTACTTATCTTTTCGAAACTGGTTTTCAGCCTTAGTTTTAACCCGGTGAAAGCAGCCAGAGAGGAGGCCGTGAATGCATCATGGGTTAATTCGTTAGGCTGCGGCGGTAGTTTTATTAACGGGTCAAAGGTCAGATCCTCCTCTAACACTCACCAAACACCAAAGGCTTGTAAACAAAAATAAATGTAATTCTGGGTTAGGAATGATAAACTAACGAAAGCTGGATAGGTTGTTTTTCACACACGTTTAATGGCCTATATGTGATGTTTTGTTATGTCTTCCGAGGATGCAAAGTATCATTGATGTTTTCAAACTATAAAACAGATAATAATATAAAACAACAGACTATAAATTATAATGAATAAAAAAAGACCATAATATCAGGAGCTGGGCCATGTGACAAGTACCACTTTAACCTGGATCATGTATATGTATATACACACAGAGAACATCTAAGTATCTGTGTATGTATACCTTATAATACAGCAGTTTGGGGGTCTGTTTGACCCCAGGAATGGGGAAGTGTGATTTCCTTTTCCACTTGGCCTTGTCGTTGATCCCACCTCGACACCAGGAGGCCTGTACTGATAAGGATGTCTGTAGTATTAAGCTGGTCTCTGGTTTCCCCTCAGGTGGCAACCGGCCTCTGTTCTGCTGTTCCTGGCAGAAATGCCCCATTCTCACATCTTTTCCTCTGTGGTGACGGACTGGGGTTCTCTCTTGTGTCTCATATGCTCAGTCGGGGGGCCCAAAGTTGGTCCTCGAGGGCCGCTGTCCTGCAGGTTTTAGAAGTTTCCCTGCTTCAGCACTCCTGGTTCAAGCCAGAGTACCATTATTAGGCTTGTGTAGGGCGTTTAAAATGGTCTGTTTCATCAGAATCAGTTGTTGAAGCAGGGAAACCTCTAAAACCCGCGGGGCAGCGGCCCATAAGGACTGGAGCTGGACACTCCGGTGCCTTAACCGTGAATCTGACCAGTGAATGGATCCTTTGCTTTTTTTCTTCAGTAATCTGGTAAAAATCTTGTTATTTTTAATGCTTTATTAAACTACCAACAGGCTCCAGCTTTCAAATCCAAGTTCATCTCTCCTGAACTGGCCCGACTGTTCAGCCAGTCAGACAGCGAGGAGGAGTTTGAGGGTTTCGATGAGGAAGAAGAGGAGAGCGGATTTGTTAATGACAAACTTAAAGCCAAGGTAGGACATCCCTTCTCCGTCCGTCATTAATGAGAGCGCGGCTGAAGCTGCAGCCTGCACTTCCTCCTCTCTCTGCCTTCCGTCCAGGTGGTGAATTCGGAGGAAAGTAGCGACATAGACACAGGCTTCTACTCTGACGGAGAGGAGCCCCCCCCACCAAAGAGGAAGAGTCTTCTGGTTGCACTCAGGTGTGTTTCTGTGAATTATTTAACAAACTGAAACTGAATAACGGGCCGGAACGAAGGTTTTTGTCGCATTTAATCGATTTTGTTCAATTAAATCTCAGGTTTCCAATTAAAAGACTGTCCTCGCCCAACCGGCAGTCAAAGGAGAGCGATGACAAAAGGCCGGGCAAAGGAAATCCTCTGTCCCGGGCAGTTAGAGGAAAGCAGACACTAAAGCAGCAACTGGAAAAGAAAGAGGAGGGGAACGAAGAGGAGGCTGAAGAAGACAACAGGGAGGTTCTGTCCCACAGCCTAACCAAACGAGACAAGAACATCCAGGAAAACAAAGCCATGGTAAAGTGTTCGGTACCGTAAGTCTGGCGTCGCCCGCCTTCCCCGTCGGATGTCGCTGATGTTCTGTGATGTTTTCAGCTGGCGAAGCTGTTTGCTGACCTGAGCAGCATGGCCGACCTCACTCTGCCCACCACCCCGTCGGTGAGAGTCGGGATTTCTTTTTCACAAACGCTCCTAAAAAGATCACATGTTCATTCTTTTTTTTTTTTTTTCTATGATTGTTCATGTTTTACAAAATAATTAAATTCTCACAATAACATGGATAATATCATTGGGGAAAATTATTATTGTTATTGTGCAGCATGTCATTAGTTTGACTCCAGGCCTGAGCATGAATGAAGCCCTCTCACATCTTAATGTGAAACATAGTAAATGTAAACGGTGGTCAGACCAGGACTGCCCTCTAGAGGAGAGGGACGCAAGTCTCTCTTCTTTGAATGTGCACGTTAATTCCAATCTCATTCAGTTTTTTCCTGTTGGCAGCCAAGTTTTCTTGTCAGTGAGTTCCTTCTCTTTCCGTGTTGGTCTCCCATTTAGCTGTGTCCCGCGTGGCCGTTAAGTGATAATTGTGTTAGTAACTCCTGTTTTTGTGCGCTCTGCAGAAGAAGAAGAGGGCCTCGCAGAGGTCGACGCCACAGAAGCGCAAGCCGGTTTCAGAAGTGGGCTCTGAAAGGAGAAACCCGTCCCGTAAGGCCCGTCCTCCAGAGAACTTCGCCGTGGAGGAAAAGAGCGAGCCGGTGACCCGCCGGAGCCCCAGGACGGTGGACGTCCGGAGGCTGGTGGAGGTACGGCCGGCCCACCACGCTGCTCCCCGTCTGCTCCGGTTTTCCCGCCGGCGCCGCAAACGACCTGTGTTCGCCCCGGGCAGGTGGCCGAGGAGCAGGCCGGCGAGAGGCGGAGGAAGAGGAAGAGCCAGACGTCCAGGAGGAGCCAGTACGTGGTCAGAGCCGTCGATGACATCACCAAGGAGGACCTGGACAACATCGCGTATCGCAGCAAAGACAAAATCTGGGACAAAGAGAACGTGAGGCCCGGCCGGGGACGGGCCCCTCTGGGTTTGTTTGGGCTGTTTCCTCCACACGCAGCACACTTCTCTCCCCCTTTTCGACCCCCCCCCCCCCCACAGGGCAGCTCGTGCCACCAGTGCCGACAGAAGACTCTGGACACCAAGACCGTGTGTCGCAGTGGGGTCTGCGTGGGGGCCAAAGGCCAGTTCTGCGGGCCCTGCCTGAAGAACCGTTACGGGGAGGATGTGCGCACAGTGCTGCTGGACCCGGTCAGTCCTGCCACCGGCCTGGGAGAGGAGAGATGTGCTGTCTGATAATCTCTCTGTCGCTTGTGCTTTTATTGCTGCTGATTGAAGTGCTGAGAGAAACTTATAACAAAGAAATACAGTTCAAAGCACCACATCAGGGACGATAGGACCAAAAATATTAGACTTGAAGTGGATTTATTTTTTCTTTAGGTTCTCAGTGATTTATTAATATTGTAAAAACTGAGAAGAAATGGCATGTTTTCTTATTATTAACAGAGGAGTAGCTGTCACATTTAAGAACTTAAGAAATTAAAGTACAGTCCGAGAAGATGAGGGTTCTTAAAATAAAAATCTTCACAGCTAGATTTTAGCAGAAGCCCTCGGATAAAAGCTGCCTCTCTGCCCTACTGGAGCACAAACTTTTCATTGACTCCCGTTTGGTCATCGGTTTTCGTTGGTTTTAATTTGTTTTTTTTCCCCAGACGTGGTCGTGCCCCATCTGCCGCGGGATGTGTAACTGCAGCCTGTGCCGTAAGAAGGAGGGCCGCTGCGCCACCGGCATCCTGGTGGGTTTGGCCCGCTACAACGGCCACGACAACGTCCACGAGTACCTGGAGAGGTAGGCCCCTTCGCTCTGTTAGCAGCCACCGGTCAGCTCAGGGAGGCCGGCGTAGCGTCATCAGGTCCGAGCATGACGGCAGGTCAGCCGTATTGTCACGGAAGGCCGTGTTTATGTCGGGAGCCGTGAAACGACGAGCCTTTTAAGGTGTTGTCCGTCCCCCGATGACGTAGCTGTGTGTATTTATGCTGAAGAGTCTGACTCAGAATCTATTAAGAACTCAACTCCAGCTGCCAGGGCTCACGTCTTTGTCTTTTTTCTCCTCTGTTGCAGCATTCAGAAGGAGCTGCAGTGAAGTCCAGAGAACCAAGCAACTCGTAGCTTTAAGGGTTCTGGTTCTGCACAGACCTGTAGAAAGATTTGAACGCATATCCTCACGTTAGATCTCCCTTTTTATAAAGAAAAAAAAAGCTGGAAAGACTTATTTTTTAAGTCGCTTCAGCGGAAAGCACATATACTTTTTATGTTTTTATATATCCTGATTTTAGGCTGCATAAGATGCACCGATGTTTTGTTTTAGTTTTTTCGTTTTGGAAGCTAGTGCTTGGATTTTGAAATGTACGACTAGTACATTTTTATTTCTGTGTTTTTGTTTGAGGGCAAACAAAGCCTTTTTTTGTACTTTTCTAAGATTTTGCACCCCTCATGTCAATCCACTGTACTTTTCTAATAAAGAATCCTATTCTAAAAATAAGTATTTCTGCCCTTTTTAGTAATGATATGCGCCGTTATGGGGGTCAGTGTTGGAGTCATTTCCATAGAGGCTTGTATCAATACAGAAAAAGAGAAGAGGGAGATAAAACTCCAACGATGTAAAGCTCTCTTAGCAGCGAAGGACTTCCTGTAGGGTCTCTGACCTTCGGATGTGAGGCAGTTTGTGTATTTCACGATGGGGCTCTGCCAAAACAATCACAGCAGCCACGTTCAGCACTCATCGTGCTGTCTTTCTCTATTCACGCTGGTTTTTTACCGAGTGGGGGGGCAGAACTCTGTCATTTCCTTTACCCGAGTGCTATGACGTTTTTCTCCCTGTCTCATAGACTAACACAAACGCAGCATTTGTCCATACAAATTTAAGACTCACTTTATTGTCAAGTGTTATGCAGGCAAAGCATATTTTCTCCTCAAAGTTTTTTTCGTCCTTTTTTTTAATTGACATAACACATTTGTACAAACCAGTTTTAAAAATATCAATAAACTGGAGCCTTTGAGGCTAACCTGGCAAAAAACCCATTATCAAATGTCATGAGACGAACAAACATCTTTAGAAAAAGATTTACAAATGAGATGTCACTACAAAATATCAAAAGAAAAAAAAGCTGGTTGTCACACAAAAGAAAGAACAAAAAAAAAAAGACCAAAAACATCTAAATTTGTTTGGTATCGACCTTTTCGGCTTTAAACAATGGTAGCTTTTTTTTTTTTTGCTTCCTTTCTTCTTGTTTTTTTTTAACCTTTCTCCAAAATACACGTTATGGCGCAAAGAGAGAGAGAAAATAAAAGAAAAAACAAAAAAGCAAATGGTCAGACGTAGAAAAAAAAAAAAGCCGAAGCATGAGGAATAAAGAGAGAAGCAGCACTACGGCAAAGAACTGAAACATGCTGTACACAACCTTAGAATCGACGCACACAAATACAAGTCCAGCAAAAGGCAAATATTACAAATCAGGGATGAATAATAACTTAGCCATACACAGTGGGGCCCTGTGTAATCACACACTTGGAGAGGGGGGGTGTCAAATCAATTGATAAACTCAAGAAAATAAAGGCTTCCTTTAAATCCCAAAAGAATGTACGCACTGAACTAACACAGAGGAACACCACCAGAAAACATCTTCTATCCACAAAACTAAACGGCCCGGCTCGCCCGCGGCCCCCCCCCGGTCTGCCTCCCTCCCTCCGCCCCCCTGCCCACCCCCCTGTGCTGTGGTCACCCCCCCCCCTCCGCCCACCTCTCTCCGAAGGGCCTTCTGTACGACAGCTTGTGTTAAGGCAAATGTGGTACATCGGTCATGTGACTTGGCTACAGTCAGAGTGGTGGTGGGGGGGCAGGGGGGGGGGGGGCCCGACCGGAGCACAGGGGGCCTTCGGGGGGGGCGGGGGACGACACCACGTTCCACGTCCTCCCCAAATCTTACGGCTAACTGGCTTTCTTTTTTTCGTTTTTTGTTAACAAAGACAGCTTCCCCTGACAATGTAAACATGGTTTCACTAGGATTGTCATTACAGTATTGCTTTCACTAAACAAACAAAGTTGTAGAAAGCTAGATTGTTTTTCTCTATAGAAACCTTTTTTTTTTTCTTCTAATGGCCTCTGTGCCTCATAGGAATGCATTTGTCATATAACTTTTAATGTGCTTTTTTTTTCTCCACTCCTTCTTTTGTGGAATTACTCCATACCTATCATTTTCAAGAGCATCTTTAGTTGCTGATTAATCAAACGAATCAACACTTAAATCTGATCTGAGGACTAAACCTGAACCATAAATTAAACTCCTGTTAGGTAGATCCTGTGTGGGTCCAGCGTGGGAAACACAAATCCACACACGTTCAAACGAGTCACACACACACACACTGTTCCCATGGCTGCCCCGGCTCCATGCTGCTCTGCACCTCCCCTGTGCCATGATTGACCCTCAGCACTGTCTGACAGGTGTGAGACAGGAACCCAATTTTGTGCATAGAGTTAGATTCTGTTCGGAAAATGCCTCTCAGTGTCGGATGGTTTCAGCCGGTTCCCCTTTCTTGTGCTAAACTACTTACGCGTCTTCCTCCGCCTCACGTGGAATTGTTATATATTAATTTTTATAAATGCCAAACTAATCTTTCATACTCTCAGTCTAAAGTTTTTATAATATGTTAGTTTGTTTTCTTCCTTAGATTGCAGTGTCTTTATTTTTCAGTTTATCTTCCTTGCATGATTCCGTCTCTTTTGAGTCCCTTTTCATGAGCCAACGATTTTCATAATTATATGAAATTAAAAAAAAAAAGAAGAAGAAAAAGTTGAAAACCCTTAGGATCCCTGCAGAGACCTCCAAAAAAACAGGAAGTCCGCTTCCGGCAAAGCGACGGGAGCCGGTCACCTATTGAAACTCCTCCTCTTCCTCCTCCTCCTCCTCCTCCAGGTGGTTGGAGGTGGTGGGCGTGGCGGGGGCGGAGTCGCGGGGCAGGGTCCCCACGGAGACGATCTGGGGCGAGTCGCCCAGGCCCTCGGGGGGGTCCTCCTCCATGTCGTCGGTGGTGATGATGGCCACGGCGGCGCCGCTCTTCTTGTTCTGGTGGGTCTTGATGTGCTTGGAGAGGTGGTCGCTGCGCATGAAGCGCTTGGAGCACTCGGGACACTCGAAGCGCTTCTCCCCTGGGGGACAGGCGAGAGGGTTGCTGGGAGGGGGGAGCGGGGGGGGGAGCTGTGGGGACGAGGCCCTGACTCGGGCGGGCGGGCGTTCCTACCTGTGTGCGTCCTCCGGTGTCTCTGCAGCTCGTCGCTCCGCGTGAACCTCTTGCCGCAGAAGATCCAGTTGCAGACGAAGGGCCTCTCGCCGGTGTGCCAGCGCAGGTGGGCCCTCAGGTGCGACGTCTTGCCGTACACCTTCCCACAGCCCTCCATGTGGCATATGTGCTGCTTCTTCTTGGTGGGATCCCCGCTGTTCCTGTAACGCACGCTCTGAAGGTGAGCTGGGGGATGTCTGTGTTCAGGAGAAGAAAATGCCTTCCCTTTTTTTTAAAAAAAAGAAAGAAGGAACTATTTGCTACCTTCCCTCTCCGTCCCTGCAGTTTGGACAAGAGCAGGCCACGCGCCTCAGCCTCTTGCCCGGCGGCCCCTCCTGGTCCGAAGAACTCTGAACCGAGCCCAGCTGGTCCGGACTCAGGGAGGAGCCCGCGGCCATGTTGCCGACGGTGACGGTCACCGGAGAAGACTGGACTTTGACCCCGTCCTGACCCTGTGGTTGACCTGAAGGGGGAGACAGCAGAGGGAGGTGAACACAGGAGCCAGCCCTGGCCGAGCGGGCCGGAATCTGCCGGACGTCGGCAGACCGTTCCACACGTGTGCGGTTATTAATGGCGTCTCTGCGCACGTACCCTGTAGACCGGTGATCGTGAGGGGCACGCCCTGCACCTGGACGCCGCCCGTGCCCAGCCCCGCGATGCTGACCGTCTGCACCCCGGAGCCGGGGTTGATCTGGGCTGCGCTGAGCGTGAGGGGGGCCCCGCCCAGGGAGACCAGCCCCCCGCCGCCCACCGCCGCCCCGCCGGCCACGGGCGCCAGCGTCAGCTGCTGCGGCACGGCGGCGCCCAGGCCGCCCTGCAGGGACACGCCCCCGGGCAGCTGCAGCGTCTGCCAGGTGATCTGGCCCGAGGGCGAGAGGGTGGGGGTGCGGATGAGGACCTGGGCCGGGTTCTGGAAGGCCTGGAGGGGCTGCAGCGTCTGGCCCGGGGCCAGCTGGAGCGTCTGGATGTGCTGCGCCTGCTGCTGACCCTGACCCTGACCCTGGCCCGGGGCCGGCGGCTGCAGCTGGATCTGCTGCAGCAGCTGGTGGCCCACCTGGCCCACGATCACCTGCTGGATGGCGCCGGCCGCCTCCCCCCCGCCCTGCAGCCCGTTGGCCTGGCTCTGGCTGGGGGAGTCCGCCTCCTGCACCTGGCCGTCGGCGGCCCCGCCCTCCGGGGCGGCGGGGAGCGCCTGGGCGGCCTCGGCCGCGCCCTCCCCGCCCTCGGGCGCCACCGCCGCGGCCGG